TGTAACTCGGTCGGGTACTGGATAAACATTCTCTTTCCCATCCTTCTCCTTCTTCCCTCCTTCTTTTTTTGCATTTCAGATCATACAAAGTTCTCCAGACATTATATATTTTTCGCCAAAAAGTGGGGCCCCCCGGTTCCGCCGCCCATGTGCCAGGATACCCGAGGTTCTAGTCGGCCCTATTGATTCAGGCTCCCTGTCGGAAAATTTCTGGAGCCACCACTGGCACGTGTGTATGTTGATTTTGTAGACTATTAATTTACTTATTTCCCTTAGATCTACTTAGTCTAATTATCAGAAGCTGATTTCCGATTCTTTATCATCATTTCGATCGTATTTAATTCAAGTTGGGAATTGGTTTAGAGGAGGCTTGTTCGAAACGGGGGATCGGCCGAACCAATCCAAGCCACATACTCCTAGTTAACAAATTTTTTACTAGGTAGTCGGCACAGAGGAGGGGGTGCCAGTATTTGCCGGAGAAAGAAGGGGTGACTGACCTTATCCACGGCTAGAGCGTTATGTGGACGATGCCAGGGCTGCCAGAACAACTGGAAGGATCCAGTCACTTGACCTATTAAAATATATGGAAGGGATTAATGATCTTTGATAGTGCAGAGGGTGGCTCTAAGAAAGAAATCTTTGAGGTGTGCAGGGGTGAAGGTATGCTAGGCTGTTCACCAGAGATCTACATATTCTATGGACAACGCCCTGGCAAGGATCCCGAAAAATTAGCTTCTAGTGTGCAGGAAAAGATCTAGGCCAGATTGTCCAATCCCAGTTTGCCGAAATCCAGTTTTCCGAAATACAGTTTGCCGAACGTCAATTAAAATCAAACATGAACACTAGCATAAAATAACAGCTTATGGTAGTAGTTATGATTCTTTAGTCTTTCTCTAAATCAAACTCTTTGATAATTAATTTAGTTTAATAGCAAAAAAAAAATTAATTAAATAGGTCTATCAGATAAAATGTCATAGCATAGGCTATTTATAATAGTCTATATACATAAAGTTTAACTAAGATATCCCCTGTCGTCGCTCTTTACTTGCTTGCGCTACCACGACAAAACAAAAATATGAATGCTGTATAACATTTTAAAAACCGTTTACCAAGCTGGATTAACCATGAATCTCGGTTTCCATACAATCGCTCACCCTATCGGTGATAGTCGTCTACAGTTTGCTAGGAAGGTTGTTCAAACCTGATTCAACTTTGCCGATTGCGTTTCAGATGAATCAGGGTGCATTGTTAGCTGCCCTGACGTAATCAGGAAGGCACTCCGATTTGTCTGAAACGCAACGGGAAAAGTTGAACCAGGTTTAACCTTCCCGACAACTGTCGGCGACTGTCGCCGATAGGGTGAGCCATTCTATGGAAACCGATTTTTACCTGGGATAAAGCGGATTTCGGCCGAATCCACAGTCGTGTTGCTGGTTTTGCTCGACGGGGGTTTGAAACTAAAGAAGGAAGGGGGTGAGTTCGATGTCACCGATGGCCGATGTCCCAGATAAGTGCCGATGTCCCTGACGGGGAAAGGGGTGATGTCACCGATGGAAAGGACAATTTTCCTGACGGCAAAATGGGTGGGGACAGGAATGGCCAGTACTTTTTGATTTGTATGTTGTTTTCCCAGCTCGGGAAAACAATTTTCATGTGCTGTACTTAAGACAATATATGGAATCCTGAATCTCTATGTTGTACTTTTATTTTAAATTTAAATATTATTTAAGTATTTTATGCAATGCATGTATATTTTTAATACAGTATTTGTTTGTAATACGTTTATGTGTATGTTGTATTCCCAGCTGGAAAACAAATTTCAAACTGTACTTGTATTTGTATATGACAATAAATGGAATGAATCAGATGCTCCTGGTGACATGAATAATCAAGAAAAAACTGGTTTCATGTAAGTTCATCGCTCAAAAAATCTTCAGAATAAAACAATTACTTAAAAATTATCATGTTGAGTATTGTTTTAAAGAATCAAGATGAGTTAAGACTTATCAAAGTTTATTGACTCTATCATAGTCCACATTGTCGATCATACAAGCATAAAACGAAATAGATTAACTTATATTTACCCACTGTATGCTATTTTAGAACAAAACCATCTGGGAAGCAAGCTTAATTGTGGAACAGATGCCGTGACGAAATCAAACTTCAACAACAATTACTAAACAGGGCCAGGAAGTACGCACATGTCCAAAAACAAACGTGTATACGTTTGTACGTTTACATTGTCGTTGTAGGACCTACAAAAGTATTAAATGGGCTAATAGCAGAAAGGTTTTTTTTTTCGAGCGAACAACCCAGTTTATAGCAAAGCCCGCTTTAACAGTAAGACACTGTGAATGACTGTAAACATTGCCGCACCCAGCTACTGGAACTGTTCCGCTTAATGTTCCTTCTTTTCTTTTCTTTTCTTTTTCAATAAGGCAGGGTGGCTTAAGGCCGGGTGGTAATAAGCCTAAGGTGGCAAAGGGCCGTGTGGCAACGGGCCGGGTGGCAAAAGGCCGGGTGGTAACAGGTCAGGTGGTAATGGGCCTAGACTTTAGACCCTTTATATATATATATATATATATATATACATATATATATACTTACATATATACATACATATATACATATACGTATATATACAAATATATATACACACACAAATATATATACATATATATATATGTACCTATATATACATACATATATGTATATATATATATATATATATATATATATATCTACAAAATTATAAATACTATAGGGCTTTTTTAAGAGTGTGTTGTCTCTCGCGCATACACTGTATATACTCTACCAACATAGAAACTTGCGGTTCGTAGTGGGTTCATTTATAGGAATAATTTTTAAGCTAATCTATTATTATTTTTGACTTAGGCCTACATAATTCTCTAAAATAATTGGAGAGTGACAAGTCAGAAGATGGTTCCCCACGTCATTTGAACTTGTCAACTATACCTGCAGGAGTGTCCCTTTTCTTTCTGGACCCATGCCCTCCTGCAAATACTCTAAGCCTCCCAAGACTAGCCTCGTGGAAGGCCGCACTGCAACGCCTTTTTCACGAATCGGTAGACATCTTGAAGTGATGACAAACAACCCAAGTGTGAAATAAGATAAGCTTTGAGGCTGAATTCTTGTCCTCATGTTATCTAAAATGTCATAACTCCATTTACAGTGCAGTAGTACTAGTAATACTCTGGACTAGCATTGTTTTAGTTACCATATGAGAGTTTCCTGTGTTGATTTACTATACTATACTTCTTTATAAAATATAATTTGTACTTTATAATAAGAGAAATCTGTATATTATCGGTACCTGGAACTGTAACAATACGAAAGTACTATGCACTGAGTAATGCATAGGTCTATTTTAATACACCACTTAGATAGGCTTTTATTTTTCCATCTTGATTTTAGAGGTCAAAAACATTTTTAATCATATAGTGGTGTAGACTAGTCTTTTAAGAACATTTTCAGTTATGGAGTTATGATTTTTTCAATAACTTGATGTCAGAAAATCAGCCCAAAAGCTTATTTTATTTCTGTTGGTTACGCACCACTGATTCGCAATGTTTTTCATCACTTCAAAATGTCTACCGATTCGTGGAAAAGGCTATGGCCACGCATCTTTTTTTATTTTAAGTGCTACAGTAGGCTAAATAATCAAAAAATATATTGCAAACATTGATTCTTCTTTTGTAAACACATAGATAAGGGGTTAACATTTCAGAAATCACACCGTGGTCACATGTCTCGTTCATATGCAAGTTATTTTAAATATGCAAACAATGGGT